CCATTCCAACGTCCAAGCATACATTTTTATAGACTTTCAGATTCATGTTTATGTTGGTTACTTTATTTTAACATATTACATGCCAAGTCTCAAGCTTTAACCCATTAAAACACATGATCAAGTTAAGGAACATACCCAAGGCTTCAAAACAGAAGCAAAATGTGCTCTTGGAGCTCACTTGAAGCTCCCTAAGTTCTGACTTCTCAAGAAAACGAAAATGACCACAAAGCAAGGTCCTTTCTCTCTAAAGGTGGCTTCTTGAAGCCACACAAACAAGGAACAAAGGATCTTTCCCCACAAACAGTGAAGTCAGCCCAAGAAAGACTCAAGAACAGCCCACCAACTCAGAAAAGCATCCCCTTTTCACTTCCCAAAGCTTGAATGCACTCACCCATGGAGTTTTTGTGAAGAAACCAAGAGGAAATGAGGTCTCTTGATGTCTTAAATGGAGAGGGAAGAAGGTGGTAAGATGGCTGGTCACAAACTTAGAAAACTCACGTATAATGGAGAGGGAGGCTGACCTAGGATCATGTGCCACTCCTATATATATAGCCTCATTAAGTTTTAATCACACTATATTAGCACTAATGGCTACGCTTAGCATTTTAATCCCAAACTCAAGATTCTGAACCTACTCATTTTTATAAGATTTTTCATATTTTTATTTTATTTTTCGCAGCAACTTTCTGGTACGCGCTTTTACATAGCCAGTATCAGTTCTCATTATTTCGACTTGAAACTTGAAATCACAGTCCTACTTATTATTCTAGGAATATTCATGCACTTATAATAATTTTCCAGGATACTTCATCGGTACGCATTTATACCGAGTAGCAGAACCTGTATCTGCACTTTTTGTCAGAAAAGCGGCTTTCAGTATTATTACTCACTTACCAATATTATTTAGAGGAGGGATATTCTTACTACCAAATTTTTTTACTACCAACTCACTACCTATCTAATCATCATTGGATCAACATTTTCTCTTTTTTCAAAAACTTTTTAGCATTTTTCTCTTTGATTCAATGGTGATTACATAGGTAGAAAGTTAGTAGTAGAAAATTTTGGTAGTAAGAATATCCTCCCTCTATTATTTAAGCCTTATCATAATTATTAGGTTCAATTATGGAATCATTTTCAAATTTCTAATAATTAATAAATTAACTTCCACGACGTGTTTCACGTGTCTTAGCTTCGTAAGTACATAGCAGATCCTTCGCACGTGGTGCAACCAAATGATGTTGAGATTCGGGAGAACCTAAAGACTCTCGCCGGACAACTCAAGATTCTCGATCGTGGCGATAAGCAGCTGAGGAGCAAGATCATTCTGATGGTCAAAGTGCACTGAATTGGAAGAACTCCTGAGGAGTGTACCTAGGAGCGAGAGGACGAGCTTCTTCGGCAGTACCCTAACTTCCGAGGCAGGTATGTTTCTGATTTTGAGGACAAAATCCTTAAAAAGGTGGGGTGAATGTAAGGACCAACACCGTTAATTTAGGAAATTAATTAAATAAATATGAGAATTAGAAAATAGTTTCATAGTTGACCCTAATAATTATGAGAAGACTTAAATAATTATAGTAAGTGTGAAATAATATTGAAAGTCGTTTTTCTGACGAAAAGTGTAGATACCGGTTCTGCTCCACGGTATAAATGCGTACCGATGAAATAACCCAAAAAATTATGAAAAGTATATATGTTACTAGAAAAATATATAGGACTGGCATAACAAGTTTTAAGTCAAAATAATGACAACTGTTGCCAGAACTGATACTGGCTATGTAAAGGCGCATACCGGAAAGGTGCTGCGAAAAATAAAATAAAAATATGACAAATCTTAGAAAAATGAGTAGGTTCAGAATCATAAGTTTGGGATTAAAATGCTAAGCGTAGATATTATGCTAATACTGTGTAATTAAATTAAGTGGCCTATAAATAGACTTTTTCACACAACCCTAGGCTTATCCTCCAGCCTTTATGCGTGGGTTTGGCTGCTGTGTGCGTGTGTGTCTTCATGCTTGTCACCTTCTCCATGGCCACTCTTGCTTGAAAAACTCCCAAGTCATCTTTTTTTCCATTGATTCTTCTCTTTTAGACATTGTAAACACTTGGTAGAGTGGTTGTAAGGGAGAGGAGGGTGCCTTCTGAGTTGTTTTACCTCTGTTTGAGTGAGTGTTGGGGGCTGATTTCTTGAGTTGAGCAGTGGGAGTCATTTCTTGGTTGTAGAAGCTTCAAGGAGTGACCTTTGAAGAGAAAGGACCCATCTTGGGGTGCTATTTTCGTGAACACTTGAAGTCAGAAGTTGGAGCTGACTTGTGAGCTCCAAGAGCCATCCCATTTTTTTTTTGAGTCTTGGTGGTAAGCACCATCACTTTGATCATGAGTTTTAATGGGTAAAAGTGGAGTCTTGACATGTTTAATAAGATAAACAAGTAACCAACATGATAACTGACCTAGAGGGGTTCAAAGATGCATGCTTTAACGTTTAGAAGTGTTAAAAATAGAACCTTGGAAGGGATATCTCGCAAAATATCCGGATATGATATCCGCATATGGGGTTTTATTGATATCCGAATATGGATATCCGGATATGATATCCAGATATGGCCTCGATAAATATTCAGATATTTTGGGTTTTCGAGAACAGTAACGGTACTGTTCATACATAATGCTATTTTGGGTTTGTGGACCCATGATTAGTTAATGTGGACTTCTGTAATAAATAACCTAAGTCAGAATCTAAGTGATTAAGGGCTTATGGCTTTGTGAGAAGCCTAAAGACATGAAACGTAAAGGAAATGCGTTGTCTTTATGTCGTTTTCTTGTAGAGCATGTATATTGATATTATTATTGGTCCAAACAGATTGTGATCGTGCTGTGTGTAGACTTTGAGCTTGGTTGGACTCTTGGCTTGGATAGTTAGCTTGCAAGGTAAGCTTTTGTGTCCTCGGTTTAGCCATTGTTGGTTGCACCAGATCCCATGGGGGGATGGTTTATATGCATGATGTGTTTTCATGTATTATTTTATTGAAATGCTATTGAGCTGTTAAGTGCAAATGCCTTATGATATGTATGTGGTGTTCGCCTAGACGGGATGTGATCCTGAGGGCAGGTACGGCATGGGCGTGTACTGCGTGGGTAATAAACGTATTCTTGCATCTCTCTGGCCAGTAGATTAGTTATAACACAAATGACATGATTATCTGCTGCATTGCACTGGTTTTGGAACTTATACTGTTAAACTGCTTTTGGAACTTATATTGCACATATAAGTGAGCTTGGGGTGGAAGATCCTTGAGGACCCCTTGCCTTACTGAGATTTCTGTTTAGAGATCTCACCCCATGTTTAGGGCACCATTTTCAGGTTCAGGTAACCCTGGGGTTGAGACCTCGGGTGACAAGAGGCCGAAGCTGAGTTGAGGTGTTTGATGTTATGCTGATATGACTGGCTGTTATTCTGATTTACTGCCTTCATTATTATGATGTTGTTGTTGAGACTTGTTGGGCTTGTGCCTTATTTGGTGAGTATGGGGATTGTCCATGCCACATTGACTTGACTTTATGCTTTTAGATTCGAGTTGTATAATTGTATCAGGATTATGTCCGGTCTACGTGTTGTAGTTCTGTGACTTAGATACTCACTTATTATATACGAGGTTATTCAGTGTAGATAGCTGTCTTTTGCAATTTACATAGATGCGATGTTTTTATGAAAATGATTAAGTAATAAACTTGGCTAAGGATAATGATGTCATAATTGAAAGTAAAAAGTTATTCTGCATTTTTAATTAAGCGTGGCTTAATACGATGACATGTTAACAAACCGGATATACACGGGGTGTTACTGATACCACTTGTAACGCCCGGTCGCTTCAAGAATCAATGACTATCCCCACACACTAACACTGGACTTTTCAGCATGCTTTATCCTCACTCGCACACTTCCTGGGAAAACTTCCCACGAGGTCACCCATCCTAGAATTGCTCCAAGTCAAGCACGCTTAACTACGGAGCTCTTCCGTTTCGGGCTACCGAAAAGTAGATGCATCATGCCTTGCACACCGCTTCCGTTCCGGGATGTTACAATAGGGTTTATGAACGTCTGCTACCTACCGAACATGAGGGATACTGCCTCATGCCTTGCACACCAGGGTTGCTGCCTGATCCTACAAGTACTAACATCACATCCATACATTATATCAACAGGTATACTACACACCATGGTTGCTGCCTGATCGTGTAAGTACCCAACATCACATCCATACATTACATCAACATGTATATTCACATATCTCAGGCATATATCAATGCATATATATCATTTTCATAAAAGCACAACAAAGCATATTCCAGCAAGAAAACTCATATCACCCATACTGCTAGCTATGGTAATATTCTTCAATGCATCATGGAAGTCTTTATATAATGTTGTGAATATTATCTTCTTGAAAGATCATAATTAGTTCCTAACTTATAATTTTCATTGTAATTTTTCTCTTATGACAGTTTGATATAAATCTTAGAAAACAATTACAGTTGGATGAAAAAAACTAACATTGCGGTATATAATTTTTATCTCTACAACGATTCTTTTTATAAGCATAAAATGAAGCATTTAATTTAATTTGTAACATGCTTAGAAGGTGGATTGAATTGTAAAAACCATGATAAAAAAAATGTTTCTCTACTTTTTTTTCTCACCACAAATTAAATAATTTGCAGCTCTTGCCTTGGATATGTCAGTCATTTGGAGAGGGTACAAGATCATAATGAAAGAATAACGAAGGTAAAGAGAAAAAACAAACACACCACTCAAATTTAATCACACAGACAAAAAGAAGTATAAAATAAAACTTTATTGGATGATGATTCAACCCAATCACCGAAAGCACGTGATTTTTTTATTCATATTGTGTGGCTCATAATAGTATTATATATTGCAGTATGCACTTATTTTTTTATGAGGCTTGACAAAGTCTATTATGTAGCGATGGAGGACTTCAAGGGTAGAATGTGATGGCATAGTCAGGATTGGAGAAGCAAGTAAAGGTGCTAGTCTTGTCATCATATGCGTAGCAATAAGCATCAGGACATTGCTGCTTGAAAATGTCAGAGTATTTTGTTGGTGGACATTTCTCTGCTGTGTTGAAATCACCAGTGCAACAATACTGAGGCTGGTTGAAAGCCAAACAAGCACTCTTGCATGCAATCGCGCTTCCATCAGAACCTTTCATTTGGAGCTCCGCAGGGCACACATTGTTGATGTTGTTAGGGCAGCTTGAGGTTTTGCATTGACCACTCCCACCTTGTGGGGTCACCGAAATGGGCACGTTGAACCTGTCCACGTTGCTTACATCGTAGAAATCTTGACCTCCATTTGATGCTATCGTAATTTCTACCAAAGTTGCTGGTGGGATTGCCCTGGCATCGTAGAAATCTTGACCTCCATTTGTAGGTCGAGATAACGCGATTTTACTAAAATAATGTGTTGTTGTCATTTTTTCCCAGCCGGAATCGATTCTCCCAGACTGGGAATCGGCGACAGTGGAGAAAAATTGCATTTTTTTCTGCATAATCCCTATTTCCATGGCTTCCCAAGGGTTCTAACTCTGATATACCCACTTAAAGAAGTTCAATTAACTTTATTATATTTAGATTAAAAACTCTCAACTCAAATCATTAAAGTTTCCCTTTTGATTACTCAAAACAAGCCATTTTCATAAAAAAAATGCAAAGAAAAGGGTATATGGTTACCTTGAGGCTCTTAAAAAGGGCTCAAGCCCTAGGGCCAGCCCATTTGGCCCTATGTTAAGCCCTATAAAATTTTGAACATGTATGGGGTCATTTTAACCCCATCCTCTTAAATCCCTCTCATTATAGGGTTGGGTTGGGGCTGGCCATGCGGGCTACAATATTCAACCCAATTTACATAAATATGAATCATTTTTAAATGTGACATATCTATCCTTAATATTAAAATATGAAAATTACATAAATATGAATCTTTTTTAAATGTGACATTATTAGAAAAGTGTCAAATAGTAACATAATTTATCGTCGAAAATAGAGACGAATTTTTTGACAAAAATCACATTACATCAAAAATAGAGACGAAACAAGATTTGGCCATAATCACTGACATAAATTTTTTCGAAAAAAAATTCAGTCAAAATTCTTGATAAAATCTAAATTCCGTTGAAACTTTCAACAGAAACATTTGTCAAAATATTTTTGTAAATTGTTGACAGAAAACTTTACGAAATCTAAATGTCGTCAAAATATTTGATAAAAAACATATTTGTCAAAATTTTCGACGAAAAATATTTCCCTTTAAATTTTTAACGAAAAACATTTCCATTGAAATTTTTTTGTACAAAGTTCTAACGAAAAATATTTCTGTAAAAAATTTTGACGGAAAAAAAAATTCGTCAAAATTCTTTATAGAATCTAAATTCCGTCAAAAGTTTTTGACGAAAATATTTTCGTCATATTTTTTGACGAAAAAAATTTCCGTCAAAATTTTTTACGAAACACATTTTCATCGAAAATTTTTGACGGAAAATAATTTCGACAAATTTATATTTCTATCAAAATTTTCAAACGAAACACATTTCCGTCAAAATCGACAAAAATTATTTCTGTAAAAAAATTCGACGGAAAAAATATTTCGTCAAAATTCTTTACGGAATCCTAATTTCGTCGAAAGTTTCACAAAAATATTTCCCTCAAAAATTTTGAGAAAATATTTCCGTCGAAATTTTCATTGGGAAAATTTTCCTCGAAAATATTGGACGAAATTACTTTTTCCGTCAAAACTTTTGGTGGAATTTGTTTTATCAAAAATATTTAAAAAATCATTTTAGTCAAAAGTTTTGACGGAAACTAAATTTTGTCGAAAATTTTGACAAAAAATTTCATCGGATGAAAATTCCGCCGCCTTTCAATGAAAAGTATTCCAACGAAAAAATATTTTTTTGACGAAATTCTTTGTCGTTGGCAACGTAGAGTTTTTATAAAAAATATGATTTTTTTTAGTAGTGTAAAAGATACATAAAAAATTTAGAAGGCCCGCGGGCTGGCCCTAACCCATAGGGCTTTGGCCCATATGGATCTATATCACTGTGAGCTTTTTGGCCCTGCGGACTTTTTGGCCCTAACCCACTTGGGCTAGGGCTAAATGGGCCGGGCTGGCCCGTTTTGACAGCTCTAATTAAAGTTTCCCTTTTGATTACTCAAAACAAGCCATTTTCATAAAATAAAATAAAATGCAAAGAAAAGGGTATATGGTTACCTTGAGGCTCTTAAAAACAGAGAAAATAGAAAACTTTGAGGGCTTTGAAGATACTCCTAGTCACTGCAACAATGGCTATTGTGAGGACTACCCTAAACCAAAGAGGACAGCCCCACAACTCCCCATAACAAAACCTTGAATACCCCAAGAATGGGTTTTTTCTAACATTAATCACAAGCTCCCAAGTGTTTAAAGGATTTCCATGGAAGAGAGATGAAAAAAGTGAATACTTTTGATGATTTCACAAGGTGGAGAGAAAGAAGGCATGGAGAGGAAAACAAAGTGTGCTAAGGTTTAGGGAAAGAAATGGGTCTATGAAGGAGTGTTAGTAAATAAAGGAGGAATAAGGTTATTGTCATTTAAAGAACACTGCTCACTAATATGACAATATTTATTCTAATAGCTCCTTTCTTTATTTTTCTTTCAAATTTTATATTCTTAACTTAGAAATTTTTGTAAGAATTATCATATTTTTATTTTTATTTTTCGAGACACTTCACCAGTACGCATTTATGCCATGAAATACCCAATATTTGCACTTTTCTTTCGAAAAATGACCTAATCTTAATTATTATTATTATTTTCTCTTAATTTTCCTATGTCAATTATGTAATTATTTATTAACATCGTATTTAACTCTTTAAATTCCTAATTTAGTAGTGCGTTTTCTTACACCATGCGTGACATGATGGCACAAATCCAACATGTTGTAATTCAAGACATTTTTGTTATAAATATTGGTGGGTCCCATAATATTTACCCTGATCTTGGAAAAAAACCATGGTATTTTATTATAGGGAAAAGTGTCTATACTTTTAAATTACACAACTTACATCCTTTCACTCTCACAAAGAGGTGGGACCCACAACTTTAAACCATAAAATGACACAACTTTACATCCTTCAAAATTATACACACTTTTCCCTTTATTATAATACTAAGACATACAATATTACATGTTCAAACCCTTAACTCCATTTAAAATATGTATAATTATTTAAATTAAATTGAACTCTCTCGTTTAACTTCATATGATCCTTATTTATTTGAATTATTTCAGATTTTTCTGTTTTATTTGTGATCAATTTCGCTTTTCATTTATGCGTATTTACTCATAGCTTTGAGTATAGCGTTAACGAGTACTGTATGTCAATAAACCAATCTAATCCTTAATATATTAGCATTTTCCAACATTGTTATTTTCTATGTTACCTATCTCTGGCTCACTTTTTTTTCATTTTAATTTTTGAACCCTGAATAAAATTATATTTACATATAAATTGATTACTTAAATAGTATTTTATTTTATCTAAATTTAAGATACTAATACATTTATCAAAATCAAGTCAAGTCAAGTTAATTTTATTAAAGATACATAAATTCGTGAGAATAAAAATAATAGTTCTAAATTGATTGTTCATTCTTGCTAACAGTTTTTATGAATATTATTTTATTGGAAAATCGAAATTAGTTAGTAACTTATAACTTTCATTGTAATTTTTCTCTCAACATTGTTGGGATGAATTTTTTTTTGATATTTTGATATAAATTTTCGAAAGCAATTAGAGTTGGATGAAAAAAATAACATTGTAGTGTAAAATTCTTATCTTTACAATGACTCTTTTTACAAGGAAAAAAGTAGGGTTTAATTTAATTTTTAACATAGTTAAAAGATGGATTGCATTGAAAAAACCATGATAAAAAAAACCATACGGGGGTAAGTGACTCTAAAAAAAAAACCATAGGGCGATTTTTAAACTTTTCTCTACATTTGTTTTACTTAATTCTTTTTCTCAGCATGAATTATAATTTGAATAGTTACTACTAGCTGCAATGTTGGTCACCGAGACCATCAAATTAAATAATTTGCAGCTCTTGCCTTGGATATGTCAGTCATTTGGAGAGGGTATAAGATCATAATATATGAAAGAGTAATGAAGGTAAAGAGCAAAAACAAACACACCACTCCAATTTAATCACAGACAAAAAAAGTAAAATAATAAAACTTTATTGGATAATGATTCAATACAATCACTGAAAGCACGTGATTTTTTTATTCATATTGTGTGGCTCATAATAGTATTATATATTGAAATACGCATTTATTTTTTTGTGAGGCACGACAAAGTCTATTATGCATCGATGGAGGACTTCAAGGGCAGAATGTGATGGCATAGTCAGGTTTGGAGAAGCAAGTAAAGGTGCTAGTCTTGTCATCATATGCGTAGCTATAAGCATCAGGACATTGCTGCTTGAAAATGTCAGAGTATTTTGTTGATGGACATTTCTCTGGTGTGTTGAAAGCACCAGTGCAACAATACTGAGGTTGGTTTAAAGCCAAACAAGCACTCTTGCAAGCAATCGCGCTTCCATCAAAACCTTTCATTTGGAGCTCCGCAGGGCACACATTGTTGATGTTGTTAGGGCAGCTTGAGGTTTTGCATTCACCGCTCCCACCTTGTGGGGTCACCGACATGGGCACGTTGAACCCGTCCACGTTACTCACGTCATAGAAATCTTGACCTCCATTTGATGCTACTGTAATTTCTACCAAAGTTGCTGGAGGGATTGCACCGGCACCATTGCATGCTACTCGACCGGAGGCACAATCGGCAGTGGCACAACTGAACTTTCCGTTGTTGTTCGAACATCCCGTCCTAGCCCAAAACCTACCTGACCATGGTGAGGGGAGGTCCACGGAGTTGGATGCTCCCGTTGCCAACTCGAAACCTGTTGTTGATAGTTGAGGCTTCTGGTCGCCGGTTAGGGTTCCTGGCCATACTGTGTATGGGCAATTGTTTCTGAATGTAACCTTGGCTCCTTGAGCCACTGTATGCAAAACCAAAATGATAAAATGTGCGTTGGGATTTGATGAATCAAGTCATGTATAGATTTCAAAATTGACAAATTTTACACCTTATAAAGTAATGTGAGTAAACATTAACCTACACTTAAGGAATAAATCATCTCATATGTTATTTAACACGACCATGTCGTGTGATAGTATTATAATTATTTATGGCCAAATCAACATTGATGATTTCATCATGTTACATTCCGATATTATTTCTTTCTTCATTTCTCATTACTATTGACTAATATGCTCATGAATGGTTAGGATCTTGTTACATAACATGGTCACATCAAATAAGACAAAATCTATTCCCATACTTGTGTACCATTAACATGAGGAATGTATATATTTTGTTACATATATAAATACATGTGATAACTTATAATGCGTTAATGTCTATGATAAAGAGAATAAGGGAATGGAAAATGTAATTGAAATATACCATTGAAGAGGAATGCAAAGCAAAGGCAGAGAGCAACACGGGTGATCGTCATTGTTGGTGAATAGTGATGAGTTCTTGTTTTCAGAGGTTGCTTGTGAAGTATGGGTTTTAACTTGCGTAGCTATATATAGGCATTGAGGCTTGAATATTCAATGATCCGTAGCTGTCACGTAAAGCAAGTATGGGGAATTTAGCCATTTATGACTGAGTTCGTCGTCAAGGGGCTGCTACGGTTCGCTGTTTTGATTAATTGAGTTAATTGTTAATATCCTCTACCATAACCTAGTGGGACTTTTTTTTTTTTTTTATACATAACCCAGTGGGACTTTTTTTCTTTTGGTAGAGAACCCAGTGGGACTTAATGATGTTAAATATATGTTTCTAAAAGTTTAAATAAAAAATTTAATCATCGCACATGTATAAACTAATTTAATTCTTAATATTTTATAAATTAGACGTATTCGTACACTACAAGAAATTCGCTGTTTAGCTACAATGATTTAGCCATACGAACGGTCAATGTCGCAAAATTACTCTTGAGATGAATTAAGACGCATTTTTATTGAGCATACAAGGAAACACATTGAGAAATGAGAATGGGCCCTTCGATATTGGGCTGTGAAAAATTGAAAATGGATTTAAGTAGGCTTTTTATCTGTTTCTCCAAGCGCTAAAGTAAAGGAGGAAGGGTTTTGGAGCACGTTACTCATGCGTGGTTCTGCTATGCATTCAGGTTTTGAATTGGATTCTTTCTTAGGGTTTCATATACTTCCATTTTCTTCGATCAAACATTTTCACTTGATCTAGGGCTTATGCTTGGATCAATCTCTACTTGATCTTTCCCCTATTTCTTTTTGTTTTCGTTAATTATAGAATTCCTCCATTTTAATTGTTTCATTTTTGTTGTTGATTTGAAATAATGATGACTTTCCTGCTTGGGTGTGCACAATTCTTATGCTGAGAATAAGGATTCCGAGGAATCTTGCATTTCCTCCGATCGATGTGTCTTCAGCCCTAACAATGTCATCGTCTGCGCGACTTTTTCAATTTTTTTCACTCGTTATTGTGCATGAAATTTTCACTATCTGCTTCTCTCTAGCTCTCTTTTCCCAAATTTATCATGAAATGATTTTTTCATTTTGGCTGGAATGGTACTAGTTGATTGGAATCACCATTTTTATTAGTTAAGTTGGTTCTCTGTTTTTCTTTTCTTTTTAAAATTATGTATTTGATTTGGTTTTTGCAGGCTATAAGGAAAACTAATTGAAACCAAGAATGCGGAGGTATTTATGAGTTAAGTTGAGAATCAAGGAGTTCTGCCATGGTTGATGAACGACAATTTCTATAGAGTTTCAACAAAGAGAGTAAACCAAGATACTATTAACCTGGCCGGATTTGGATTTGTTTAAGTTCAGATTTGGAGCTTTGGGTCATATTTTTTTCCCCTTTTCATGTTTGTGTATAGGGACATCACAGGGGCCAATTTGCTTGTCGATTCTGCTGGTCTTGTTAAGCTTGCTGATTTTGGGATGGCTAAGCATGTGAGTTCTAAGTCTCCCCCTCTGTAATTTACTTTTTTTGTGGTCTTAGTCCTTGTTTCATGCAAAGAATGGTTCTGTCATTTCATTGATTCTTTGTATTTCTAGTTGTTAATGATTAGCTATTTACTGTTGAAAAATTCCCGGAAAAAAATGGCTTTAAAAATGCAGGTTTAATTGAAAGGCTCAAACTTGTAGTTATCAAAATTATTTTCTCTTGGTTGAGATCAGCAATTTTATTAACCCTTAAAGCATATCATTCCGTTGTTTCTAAATAAGGTTCTTGCATAACATCAGGCATTTCATCCGTTTTCATTACTTGAATATGTATCTTTAGGTTGTGGTGCTTATTATGTGCTGTTGAAATGAGGTGCTTCTTTAAGTTTAATCTGAACATCGATTTGAATGCGTGGTGGCATAGAATTATTTGTGTGTCTAGATTTAAATTTTTTTTTTCATTTTTTTATTTCACTACCATGATTGTATTGCTAGTGGTTATTTGTTGCCATTGTGATACTCTTGATTTGATCAGATAATCCTTACATTCGGGTAGAATAACTTGGAATCTCTATGTTCCGAGGCTAACTGGATATGAAGCTAATCTTTCTTTGAAAGGAAGTCCATACTGGATGGCTCCAGAGGTACATTCTTACTCTACATTACTCTGTGCTGTCTCATACATTAATTACTTAGTAACACTTAAATTCTCATTTAGCTTTTGCAGGCTGTGATGCAAAAGGATAACAGCTCTGATCTAGCTTTTGCTATTAATATTTGGAGTTTGGGTTGTATAATCATTGAAATGTTCACAGGGATGCCTCCTTGGAGCAAGTATGAAGGAGTAAAAGCCTGCAGAAAATTCTCTTATGTCTTTTTTGATTTGTTATTCCCAGGCTACTTCAGTAACCATATAGTATAAGATTTCTCGTAGGTTATAGATCCCCAATAATTTTTTGTTCCATTTTCTTTTTTGATTCTCTAAAATAATTTTTACAGATATGTGACATGGTTGCTATTGCAAGATATTTGAATGTCACGCTTATAGTCCTACTCTTTTACAGATATGTGACATGGTTGCTATTACAACTAAAGCATCCTTTTGGGCTGATCCCAGGTGACTCTTTTATTCCATAGCGGTGTTTTTTTAACAACAACCTTATCAATGTTGTTAGGTTTGAAGGATTTCTGCTCCTTATTTTTGAATGAGGATCTTATCTCAACACATACTCTTATCAATTATGCGGTTCCTTTCTATTGTTTTGCGATCAAGTTTTGATGTGTATCTCTTGGTGCAAAAGACATTGCTATGATGTCCCTTTTTAAAAGGTAAGCACCCTAACTTGCTACCCTTACAATTGGAACCACGAGAATGTATTAAATGTTAGCAACATACACATAACCCTAACGTTTAATTTCAATAGTGAGGTCTGCCCAGTGAGGTGTGTATCCTAAACCGCTTTCTGTGTTCAAAAGTAGAACTTTCATTCATCAACAACATCAACAACACCTTTATCCCAAATTAATTGAGGTCGGTGGTAGATGAACCCACATGAAAGATACAAAACGGTTGAAAAAAAGTAAAAAAAAATAAAAAATAAAAAATAAATAAATAAATAAATAAATAAAAATACACAAATAAAATAATAAAATAAAATAAAATGAAATAAAAATATATGTTTAACCCTCCACCATACTTTCATTATTTTTAAAAAAAAGTATCCTAAACCACTTTATATTGATTTTATGTTTATATTTATATAAAAAATTTACAGCATATATACTCATCTACTTTCTCAATTAATTTAATTTTAGGTTTGAAACTTTTTTTTTTTATGGTGTGGAGGCTTGAACCTTGGGACGACGCTCTCAACACTCAGCCCGAGAAGTGGAATGTTATGCTAACCACACCTCACTAACACCTTTTTTTTTTAATTGAAGTTATATTAACGGCTTTGATTTCTTACACTAATTAACCAATACAGTAGCTCTGGTCACATTGGCAAATGGTGCATTTGGGATCGGATCAAATAATCAATCATGCACCTCGTAGACCCTCACTGAACCATGTACTATCATTTGGTCTGGAATTGACCTCGCCAAATTAGTAGCATTCATTAATTCTAAAATTTAATACCCCAATGCAAGTGAGCGGCACCAAACCCCAGTAAATCCTAAATAGTAATCTTTCACTTTAATAAAACCTATATAACTAGCTAGTAAATAAGTAAAATATTGGTATAAATATATAGAACCTTTGTGTAAATAAAAAATAAGAAAAGGTCTAAATAAGCTTTTTTTTAATATTATTTTTGTTACTCACAGGATTTGGAAGAATTGGGTGTAACAAAAAAAAATATTGATATATTATTATTATAAAAGTTGGTGTTTAATGAGTGGTAATATTTCCAAGAATTTCTGTTTTTTATTCATTTGTCTGTACTGTGTGACTCAGGAACCAGAGGAGATCCCTTGGACTGAGACTGGAGCTGAAATTATTGTTGAGTCCACTAGAGTTTTCACAGATAAGGAAAAGGCCGCTGCACATTTGAAGGTTTGTATTTCTGTAGCTACCTTTTTCCGTTTTGTTGATTTTTCCATTATCTAATATTGCGTTATTCTATTGTAATTGTTATATATGATTTATGGGAAATGCTACTCTCATTTTACATGAGAGTAGCTCTCTCATGTTACAGAGATAAATCATGTGAGATCCATCATTAAAAGATAAAAAAGAAAAAAGAAAAAAATTGGATGAGATTTTCGATGTGAGACAACATAAGATAACTACCTCATGTAAAATGAGAGTAGTATTTCCCATGATTTATTAGTATCGTATAGACTATGTTTCGTTTGCAGCTTATTGCTTAAACTTGCCTGAGTTCTTGGTTGATTATTGGGACATGAATGACATTGACTGTTTCAACAGCTAAGCGGCAGAGACTGATCTTAGGATTTTGTACATTGGTGTTTTGAGGTTGGTTATCATAATAGCTAATTAATAGTATATTAACATAATATGAAATTGATTTGTGCAGGTATGATATGGTAGATGGCATTTCAAAGGACTAGGATGGCATACAAGAACAAATCCTAAATATAAGGAAAATTTGTACTACCATATTTTTTTATGGAATTGAGAAGATATTTTTTTGTATAGCTGTCCCATAAGTAAACTTTTTATTAGTTATATTTGGCATTTTTTTCCCTCTATGATATTGGTAGAAAGCTTCGTTAGCTTGTATAAATTGAAAACATGATGGCTTGTACAAATTCGTCAGCGATAATAGAATATAATGTTTAGTGCTTGGTTCACATTTTAATGTGTTCACTAAATCGTTTGAGCTGTTTTCAACATTATTTTTCTTATTATTGTAATTTATCGAGTTAATATTTTTAATTTTAAAAAGAAATTTCGTATATTTAGCCACATTCATGAATGTGGCTAAAAAAAGTTTTAGGAACAATCAGCCACATTTTTCTATTGTGGCAAACAAAACAGTTTAACCACATTTATAAAGTGGCTAAAAAAACAATAAATGTGGCTAAAAAAAGGCTACCACACTCAGTCAAAATGTGACAAAGTGAATAAAATAATGTGGCTAAATTATTGCAACACCACTTCTAGCCACATTTAATCAAAATGTGGTAAATTATGTTAGCCACATTTTTTATCAATGTTTGCCACATTTTTAAATGTGGCTAATCGGCATTTTGTTTGTAGTGGTAGTTAACACGGTTAAATGTAAGACAATATTACAAGCATACATTTCCTTTATTTTTAAGGAGTGCTCAGTGGAATAAAAGTAATCTGTTCTTATATTAAATTTAATCTTGATGTAATATCATTGAAAAAAATTATACTTAATTTAATATTATCTTATATAACCAATTTGAAATTTCATACCGTTATTAGCATAATCAAATTCTTTAATGATTTGTCAACAAAAAATCAATCCACAATTATACAAAAATACTAGCAATGCATCAAAGTTAAACTGTTTCATAATTGTGGAAAAAAATTCAAAATTTTATTAATCACATTTTGGTTAATTAAATCGAAGAGCAATTTTCATTTTACTATCGGTCATATTAGAATGTTTCGTTAAAATATAAATTCTTGTGTTTACTTCTAATTCTTTAACAAATTGCTTCTTATGATTTTAAGTTAATTAGAAAAAATTTATTTTACTTCAGTAGAATGAAATGTAGTACTTGATCAGAAGGGTTCGTATTTGATATTGGATCTGTCGGTTAGCTAGTAATGATGATGACGTTGTAAGATGTTAGGGCTTGAAACTGTGGTGTGGGGGTCTGTACGAAGAGCATATGAGAGTTTAGGGTGTTTGAGTAGTGTGCATTATGTATTTCTAGGAGAGTTACCTCAGAGTTTGGCTTGGACTAAAAATCCTTCTTCTCGAGTTTAGGGATTCTGATCCCCGACTCGTTTTAGTTTGCTTTGGCTTAATCCAGGTATGGATTTGACTTAGAACAATACTTCTCAATTATTTCCCAAAAATATTTTTTAAATTATTTATAACATGTTTGCTAACATCTTATTTTAGAAAAAAATTTATTTTTTATTTTTCGTAAAAAGTTAAATAAAAAAGCTTAGACTCTAAAATAAATTAATTTTTTTATTATTTATTCATCAATTCATCTATTACACTTTGAGACTTCCCCTTGAAGAAAATAAACTTCATACTATTTTTATTTTTTTTTGGATCCTATCTATTATACAATTAGTACGATTTGAGTTAGGTAGGACCAATCACATCTGTATGGAAAAAAAAAAAAAACAACTAAATAAGATAAATTAAAATGCCACAAAATATTGGAATAAAATAAGTTAAGAACAATCCACAACATCATTGATTCTGTTAAGACGAGAAACATAAACCATCAAATATTAAACTTGTACGTAGATGAAAATAAGTTATTAAATAATTACACATAAATACAATTAGCTAAAAGAAAATTATAAAGTAATTCAGTATAAATGCAAATGAAAGTCACCAAAACAAAATGAATTTATCACATATAAAAAATAGAATAATATTTGTGCAGTTACTGCAGATAAGTTATCTGCATTTACTCCCAAAACGACGTCGTTTTGGGATAGAAAAATTAAATAATTATAATTATAAAGACTATAATAATTCTGAAATAAATTAAAATTACAAAAATACCATGATTTCCGCCCCAAAATGACGTCGTATTAGGCTTACTGCAGATAACTTATCTGCAGTAACAGCAGAAAAAGCGAACCCTATAAAAAAATACAAAATAATAAGCCGTCTTTAAACAATATAAACACCAATTCATAAGTATTCTAAATTTCTAACAAATTATAACAAAGGGAGGGAAAGTAGGTAACTCACTACTTAATTGTACCTTCTTCCATTTTCAATTAAATCAAATAAAATAACGGTATGTGCATAAATAAAAATTGAAAAAAAAAAGTATCTAATGTTACTTTAAACAACTTTGTCTAATGTTCACCAAAACGACGTTGTTTTGGCATTGAAAAATTAAAAAATTAGAATGATAAAGAGTATTATAATTCTGAAATAAATTAAAATTACAAACACACTATTATTTTCGCCCCAAAATAACGTCATTTCGGTGAATATTAGACAAAGTTATCTAAAGTAACTTTAGAAAAAATGAACCCGTAAAAATTTTCTTTATTTCTTAACTCCTTAAAATTTGGTTGTAACTCTCAGGTGGTTAATTAACTTCCATTTAATTTAACTGAAAATATTCATTTCCGTTGAAACAAAATTACATGTGGCTAACTAATAATTATTATTATTATTATTACACTTTATATAGGGGGAGTCAATTTAGAAAAGACTACACTCTGGGATAACTTTTCATTATTTTCAATATGTAATTTTATTTTTAATGAATTAATCCATAAAAAAAATGCAAAAATCTATTAGTCCTAATGGCGTGGCAAAAACACACTCCCTAATAGGGGTGTAAATAAGCTAGGCTGGCCTGGCCTAGCCTACAGCCCAGCCTACGTTGAGCCTTGCCTCGCTCGGCCTACGTTGAAAAGTAGAATAGGCTTAGGCTTATAAGAAAGCCTTTTTAACAAATAGGCCGTAGGCCAATTTTGTCAAGCCTGACCTAAAGCCTTGTAGGCTGGCCTATTTAATTTTTAAAAATTAAATTAATTAATATATTTATTTTAGGTGACAATTAGTACCAACCCTTGTCTTGATGGTGGTTTAAAGATATTTCAATGAATGATATTCTCTTGTAGACTTTATTTCAGCTTTGGTTGACCTAATAATTGTATTTTTTTTATTTTCCCCATTTCTTTGACTCTATTCCTCTCTTATATATATTATAGAGTTGGGGTATTATGTTGACTCTTTCTTGTTTGTCATTTTTTATTTCTTATGAGAAGTACTATTGCATGCATGAATGAAACTTTGCCTAGTATATTTTTTTAGTTATCTTTTTTACTATTGTAAAATTTTTAATGCTCACTAGTGAAATTTATATATCGTGCAAAAAAATGCAGCAATTTATGAACACGTTAATGACTTGTAATGTCAAGCGAATATTTTAAAAATTGTTAATTTTTTTTAATTTTTTAAAAATATATCACAAGGGAGGCCTACAAGGCCTGTAGGCCATATCAGGCTCTCTAATTTTTAAAAATAAGTCAGGCTTGACCTATAAATAAAGTCTTTAGTATGCCAGATAGGCTGAATATTTTTTTACGTAGGCTTAGGCCATGAAGGCCAAAGCCTAGCCCAGCCCAGCCCATTTACACCCCTACTCCCTATAAACAATTGTTCCAATCAATATTGGACAATATATTTCGTATTATACATACATATGTTATATGAGCATATACCTTTTAAATGCCTTAGAACAAAGCCTGTTGCACAACTCATCCCATCATCGAATTTGGGAAGAGTAGCCAAATCCTTTCATATTAGGATTACAGTTTTACTCCTTTTTATAGACGGTTTGCTATAAATTTCAATTTGATATCTTCAAAAATGCCAATTTGTGTAAAGAAAAGCATAACAAAGCATATTCCCGCAAGAAAATTCATATCACCCATACTGCTATATATGGTAATATTCTTCAATGCATCATGGAAGTCTTTATATAATGTGCTGAATATTATCTTATTGAAAGATTAAAATTAGTTCCTAACTTATAATTTTCATTGTAATTTTTCTCTCGACATTGTTGGGATGAAAAGTTTTTGACAGTTTGATATAAATCTTAGAAAACAATTAGAGTTGGACGAAAAAAACTAACATTGTGGTATATAATTCCTATCTCTACAACGATTCTTTTTATAAGCGTAAAATGAAGCATTTAATTTAATTTGTAACAGAGTTAGAAGGTGGATTGAATTGTAAAAATCATTAGGGGTTAGCGATTCGAAAAGAAACCATAGGAGGAATTTTAAATGTTTCTCTACTTCTTTTTCTCACCACAAATTAAATAATTTGCAGCTCTTGCCTTGGATATGTCAGTCATTTGGAGAGGGTACGAATAAGATCACAATGAAAGAAGTATAAAAACCTCCAAGTGGCATATTATGAAGGTAAAGAGCAAAAACAAACACACCACTCCAATTTAATCACAGACAAAAAGAAGTATAAAAATAAAACTTTATTGGATGATGATTCAATACAATCACCGAAAGCACGTGATTTTTTTATTCATATTGTGTGGCTCATAATTGTATCATATATTGAAATACACATTAATTTTTTTGTGAGGCTTGACAAAGTCTATTATGTAGCGACGGAGGACTTCAAGGGCAGAATGTGATGGCATAGTCAGGTTTGGAGAAGCAAGTAAAGGTGCTAGTCTTGTCATCATATGCGTAGCTATAAGCATCAGGACATTGCTGCTTGAAAATGTCAGAGTATTTTGTTGGAGGACATTTCTCTGCTGTGTTAAAATCACCAGTGCAACAATACTGAGGCTGGTTTAAAGCCAAACAAGCACTCTTGCAAGCAATTGCGCTTCCATCAGAACCTTTCATTTGGAGCTCTGCAGGGCACACCTTGTTGATGTTGTTAGGGCAGCTTGAGGTTTTGCATTCACCGCTCCCACCTTGTGGGGTCACTGAAATGGGCACGTTGAACCCGTCCACGTTGCTTACATCGTAGAAATCTTGACCTCCATCTGATGCTATTGTAATTTCTACCAAAGTTGCTGGTGGGATTGCACCGGCACCGTTGCATGCCACTTGACCGGACGCACAATCGGCGGTGGCACAACTGAACTTTCCGT